AAAAAAATCAGATGATTTTTATTGAAAATTAGTAAACATTTATGCAACCTGAAGATCTTCAATTTTACTATAAATTATTAAGTAAAATTTATAAAATCCGGTAATTTATTGTAGGGCAGTGTAGGTTAAGAGGGTGTTGAAAATGTTATGAAATCAGAAATAAGTTAAGAGAATGTTTAAGTAGAATCAGAAATAGTTTGGGAGGATATTAAAAATATACTTCGAGATGCAGTATATCGAGAGGGTATAATTTTTAGTATAGGTATTATAGGTTAAGTAAGTATATTCCTTTGAGATATAATCAATTAAAATATATATATATATATATATATTAGTTTTTATTTCTTTTTTTTTTTTTTTTAAAAAAAAAAATTAATTTATATAGGAAAGAGTTTGATATATTTAAAGAAAAGAAAATTCACTTATTAAATAAACTTTTTTTTATTATTGATTAAACTTTTATAATAATTAGAAATTAATTCAACTATTTTTTACTATTAATTAAACTTCATATTAAATTAGTCTTAAAATAAATTATTTTTAACTTTTATTGAAATTAGACAATAAATTGAAATGAAATGAATAGTTCAGAATTACAAAATTACTACACTTTAATGATATAATCAAAAAAAAAATTGATTTTCCTGTAATTTGCTTCTGAATTAAGAACAATAGAGGCTCTATTTGATTTCAATATTGATTATTGCCTATTTTTCCACCACTTTTGCAAAATTTTTCTAAGTTAAAATAATATAATCTTTATATTATTTTTAGATATCAATACCAGTTTTATCAAATGTTAATGCCGATATCATTAAAAGTATCATTATAATATTAAAATAGAATTATTATTATAAATAACAACAGTTTAATAATAATATCAAGATAAAATACATAAACTGGATTATATTATATTTTATTCATCATAATTAAAATTATCCACAAGAAAAAATGAAAAAAAGAAGAAAAATGTACTGCTGTTAGTATCTTAAATGCAAGTTCTTCAGAATCTAATCAACCTTCCATATTAGATATTAATATTACAAGAATGTTAAAAACAAAAGTTTTATGCTTTTGCAACAAATGTAAAGGAACGCTTGTTGATCCACGTATAAAAAAAATTCATAAAATAAATAAATCTTTAAAATTATTACATATTAAATAATCAATATCTTTACCTATTGCTATTTTGCCAAATGAAACTCCAGTGTCACAATTAATAATTGAACCATTGGATTTAGCAATGGAAGTCAAAAAAAATTTAACTTTAATGTCAATTAATTTATTGAATTCAACAATAAAAGTCGAGAAAAATTTAGCATAAATAAAAGTTGACAATGATGACAAATTAGAAGAATAAATTTATACATTTCTTTTTCGTAAAAAAAGAAAAAATGCAGGATCTTTTTGATATATAATTATCGAATCAATTGAAGGTAACTTTAAAAGTTTAGACAATAATAGCAATTCTAATAATAGTGCATTAACAGATAGTGAATATTCTAAAGATCTAACTAAAAATGATGAATCTTCAAATAATTTTGAAAATTATTTTCATTTTACATTTGACCTATCTAACGATTTAAAACTAATAAAAGAAGATCAAGTTGTGAGAGTTTTAATTTGATTAATGAAATTCAGATTGAAATTCAAGTTACTGAACATTGCAATTAAACTTTTGATAAAATTTGTTAAAGTATTATTAGAAGAATGTAAAAGTTTTAAATTTGAATTATTTTCAGAATCTTTATATAAGACAAGACAAATTTTAGGACTAGTTGATCAATTTATGAATTTTGCAATTTGTCAGAAATATCACAAAATATATAATAATGAAGATGTTTAATAACAAGCGGTTATAAAATGTAATCACATAGAATTTTCTAATTTGAATAGAAGGAAATCCAAACAATGTCAAATATCTTTAGCAAAATGTGTTACTTTAAATAATAGTATATCAATGAGACCTGAATTAATTTATCTAGTTGTAAGTATCTGATAACAACTTTCTTACATATTTCTTTGACTAGGTTTTGAAGAATCATTATAACATTGGATAAATCGTATTTAGCCTAATAATATTTTATCAGATATTTATAATGGTAGAGTGTGGAGAAATTTTAAAGAATCATTTGATTAAGGATCTGATAATTTTTTTCATCAAAACAAAGCTGATACTCATTTTGGATTAATTATTAATCTGAATTGGTTTCAGTCATACGAAAAAATAATATACAGTATAAAAGCACTATATTTTGCATTATATAATTTATCATACAATCTACAATTCAAACCTAAAAATATGTTTATACTTAAAATATTGTCAGAGCCAAATGAAGTTAATTTGCATAGGATAAACTATTACTTTTTATCTATAATTACAGAACTAGAGTCACTTTGGAAAGGGTATCTCTTAATTGTATTAATGAATATTCAAATAGCAAAGATATTTAAGTTGCAGTAATAATTACTATATGTGACATTTCTGCAGCCTGAAAATTGAGCAGATATGTCTCTGCTCTTATATTATGTCATTGTTGTGAAAAAAGGCTAATTATGTTAACAATCATCATAATTTCAATTATATAGCAAATATAGATGAATAGTTTATTATAAAAGATTCAGCTAAACATCATCAAAATGCTTTAAATTAGTGATGATGCAAATCCAATGCTGAATAAGAGAGATTTGTTAAACAAAATAGTGTAAGATAGTCAGAATTACTATGTCTATCATACTTTAATTCTATTTAATTTGTTATAATCAATCCTATGCATTATTTTTTCCTAAATAGTAAAATGAATTTAGATAAATAAAAGGATATTAATGTAAAATGCTTTTCAGTTAATTCAAAAGAAAATGAATGAAATTCAGATACCATCAGATTTAAGATGAATCTCTGATAAAATTTATCACAGTAAAGGATTCTACAGTTTTACGACTGATCAGTGGCATAATATTTTTCTGATTTATGCAACTGTAGTATTATGGGACCACCTTCTGAATAAAGATAGAAAAATTCTCACATATTTCATAATAGTTTGCATGATTTTAGTTAGACAAATTTAGAGGTTAATAATATAAAAGAAGCATATAAATTGTTAATTAAGATAGTAAAATTAATTGAGCAATATTATGGTTAGGAAAAATAACGCTTAACCTTCATCTTTTATTGCATATATATGAATGCTTTTATGATTATAAACCTTTGTATGCTTTTTGGTACTTTTCCTTTGAGCGAATGAATGGTATATTAGGTAAGACAAATTATTGATTTTCATGTATTCTTTTTTTATAATAATAATATCAATACATTTTATTAGGGAATTTACCTAATAGTCATTGACAAATTGAATCTGAATTAATGCATTAATTGATGACTGATATGCAAATAAATAATATTATTAGTTCAAGTTTAGATGTAATAGACCTTGAATTACTTGATAATTAATCATCTGTTAGATTACTTTCTGATACAAATGAATTACTAACAGAAGAAACATATAAATTCTTGATGAATTCAAGAAATATATTAGAATCACTGATTACTAGTTGTGAATAATTTCTGGGCATATTTTTACAACTAAAAGATGAAAATATTTATTTTGACAAATAAATATATAACTTTTTTATTAAATATTATAAGAATATATATGTCAATTCAATATTTCAAAAACCTTTACAGAAGATCTATTCAATTCAATAATTGTTATCAATAAGATAAATTGATATAGAAAATATTAAATCAGTGTAGAAAATTTTGGATGTGCTGCTTCACTGCGATATATTAAAAGTTCATTTATATTAGCCAAATTTATTTGTCATGATAGAAAAAGTGTTGATACTTACCTAGGATAAGTCCAATATTTTTTTGAGCATAGCATCTATTTATATTTCCAAAAATTAATACATAAGTTAGCTTATGTTAAATAGTATAAATCTATAAGTTTAACTTTAATTTAATATCATAGTAGTATTGAGGATGATAATATTTGCAATATTAAATTGTGAGAGAATAATTTTTATCTAAGCAGTAGGGATAGTATAATTCTGATACATAATATTTTAGATTAATTTGTACCTGTAAAATACAAAATGTCAAATTAATCTAATTCTAGAGAATATTTAGCTATTATTCTTCTAAATAGAAAGTTCTATTTACATTAAAATTCAAATTAGTATTTATATACATGAACAATAAAAAATATTTCATTTTAATTATCAAAGTTCAGTAATTTTATTAATTTGTTATTATTATTATTAATATTAAATAAAGTATATAACAAAAGCAATAATTTGACCATAATTTAACAGGGCTGAATTTAAGTTTAAGTTTTTTAAAAAAAATATTATACAATTTGACTATTATTTTATAGAGTTGAATATAGATTGAATTGTATGTATGACTAATTGAGATTGATTTTTTAAAAATTTGCCAAATTTTGGTCTATTGATATTAAGGTTGAATTTTTTTATTTTGACTAGTATTAGGGGTATGATGCATTATAATAAATAACCCCCTAACCCTAATTCTAATCCTAACTTTAATCTAATTCTAATTTCACTTTAATATATATAAATATAAGGAATACATTTTGTATAGGATGCAATAAATACAATTTCACATAAATTATTATAAAAATTTTTTTGCTATTAAAATATTTTCTGTTCTTTTTTCTTTTTAGAAAATCAGCTTAACTTTCTTACTTTTTCTTTAAGTAGAGGTAAGCTTTTATAGATAAGATTAATTTCTTATAAAATAATACTAATTGTTCTTTTTTTTCTCCTTTTTTTAAAAACTGGCTTAGACTTTTTTTTGATATAGACTGTGATAAGTTTTTTATAGGTTGGCTTGTTAATTCTTTCTTTTAAAATAGTATTAACCATTTTTTCTTTTTTTTTTTTTTTTAGAAATCATCTTGAACTTTTTCTCAAAACATAAGTTTTTATAGGTGTGTATGTTAATTCTTTCTATTAAAACAGTATTAACTGTTTTTCTTTCTTCTTTTTTTAAAATTAACTTAGATTTTTTTATGAAATGTAAGTTTTTTATGAATGTATATGTTAATTTTTTCTTTTAAAAAAATACTAACCATTTTTTTCTTTCTTCTTTTTTTAAAAATCAGTTTAAACTTTCTTTCAAAATGTAAGTTTTTATGAGTATATATATAAGTTCTTTCTTTTGAAATAATACTAACTGTTTTTCTTTCTTTTTTTAGAAATCAGTTTGGACTTTTTTTCAAAATAGACTTGTAGTAAATTTTTATGGATAGGTTGTTAATTTTTTCTTTTAAAATGGTACCAACCATTTTTTTTTCTTTTTTTTTTAAGATTTGGCTTGGACTTTCTCTTAAAATGAATTTGTAATAAGTTTTTTATAAGTGTATTTGTTAATTCTTTCTTTAAAATAGTACTAATCATTTTTTTTTCTTTTTTTTAGGAATCAACTTAGACTTTTTCTTAAAGTAGATTTGTAGTAAATTTTTTATGGATGTGTATATTAATTTTTTCTTTAAAACAACATTAATCATTCTTTTCTTTCATCATTTTTAAGAAACCAGCTTGGATTTTTTTAAGTGAATTTGTAAGTTTTTATTGTAAGCATGTTAATTTCTTTCTTTCAATAACTAATTATTCTTTATTTTCTTTTTTTTTTAGGAATAAGTTAACTTTTTCTCTAAGCAGATTTGTGGTAAATTTTTATGAATTTAATCAAATAGAATAAACCTTATAAAGAGTAGTATTCTTTTTTATTAGTTAAAGAATTTTTACATAAACATTTTCACAAAATCAATTTTAAATACTAATAATATAATATAAAATCAGAAAAAAAATTTTTTTAATCATTTTTATTAAAAAAAAAATAAAATTATTTATTTACTTAGTTTTCGAATAATTGATAATGGACAATAATCATTTTACTTTAAGTATCTCTAATGTATTTAATATACTTACTCATATAAATATTATTGCCTTTTGTCTGATAATCTTACAGGAAAAATTTCTTGTGAAAATTCTCTAATTTCTTTTTTTTATAATATTTACAATTTGCTTACTCCTATCAATTTTTTTTTTACTTTTACTTTACCTACATTATTACTATAAAAAATAAAATAATGGTATTTTAAGATATTAGAAATTGTTTAAAATAATTTGATAAAAATTCTATTCAATTATAAAAATGTATTATACAGTTTCCACCTTTATCAAAAATTGTCTATACTTGATTATAACCTTTTAATGCTAAACTATTTACTATATCTACTAAATTGTCAAGATTATTAACTTCTGATTTTTGCAATTTTAATTTAAAAAGATCAAAAAATCTATCAAAACTAAATTTTATATATTCAAGTATCATAAATGAATATGTAATTTTAATATATAATATACATGCAACTCGTTATGCTAAATACATAATCATGGCATTGTTTTTATTTTACTTAGCATAATTATCTGCATGAATTATTAGATTAGTTTTATCTATCCTATAGAGAGTAAAATAATTATAAATAAAGGATATAACTGTATTTGCATTTTTTCTAATACTTTCTTCTTCTTTAACTAAATAGTTTCTCTAGAATAAAAAAGCATTAATGAATAAAATATAAATAATATCAAAGATTA